TTTAATACCCCCCCCCTTTTTTTTTCTGATGCATCCCGAGTCCAGAGTTTCTGTAGTCCATTTTCTGTTTACTAGGGAATGAGTATTAGTTTTCCTCCAATTGTTAGGTTTTCCCTCTGTAAGAGGTTACACAGTAAATTTTGTTGCCTAGCAAAAGTCATCAAAAAAGGCCAGATAAATCAGATAGATTGTATGTATGTGATCTAAAGCATTCAGGTAAGTCAAGTTCTGTGATTACAAATGCTTCAGATCACATGCATACAATAAAAAAGCAAGCAAACTCAGTATTACACACACGGGTGCTGGCTTGATAACGGAAACTAACGGATAATACCACAGTATACATTAATACAATGTATCTGCTACTGGCAAGTCATTCAAATTGTCTCACTGAGATTACTAGATTATTTAAATATGCATGTGATATGGATTAGAAAATACCAGGTGAAACTAGCAAGTGGCGTGGTGAGCCATCCCTCTAAAGGGTGAATTTAGAAGCAGCAGTGCAGAGAGTTCCTCTCTTTCATCCATTTTAAAGACGTGAATTTATTGTCAGAGCTCGGCATTAAAATTTCCTAGACAGCCGTCAGACCGGTCTGATGAGGATTCTGCTCACCTGTCAGAAAAACACTGGAAATTCAAAGAATGCTACTTTATCACCTGGGCTCCTTACTCAGTCATCTTCTGTGGTTTTTCAGTAAGTTAAATTAAAATACTCTAATCAGCTGTCACAGGCAGATGCAGCTAGGTCACGCGTTTGAGCCACGCCTGTCCCAGTGGGGAAAGGCCAGCCTTTACACGTCGCGCAACCGCAGCGGAATTGGGATGAAGAAAACGGTACTCCTTCCTGCTTTTCTTTTAAAAGATGGGCCACAATAACTGATTTGCATTGTCAACACACTGACTCAGCCTTGACAAATAATTGATGAAAACCTGAAAAGGTGAGAATCTGAATGCTTGAATATACAGGAATCTGCTCCCACCTAGTAGAACAAGTCCGTGGAATAAGATGAATGAGAAAGAAATTTAAACCTATGGGGGCCCAAGCAGAAGCATGTGGTATTTCTGTGCTGCTGGAACTGCATTATCAGCCAGTTCTTCCGCTTCCCCAGTTCTGACCAATTTACAACAGCGCTATACAACGTACTGCAAGAATCCCAAAAGGCGTCCGTCTCACGCATCGGCACAGGTATGTAGATTCAGAGGGGATTCTGTCCCTCTCGGCTTGATTCTCAGAAAGCTTCACAAAATCTCAAGCCTTTCGCTATACTGAGGATTTATTCTTTAAGCAGAAGTGAAATGAATTATGCGTCAATGAACAATTAGGTTATCAAGATTGTTCGCTTAGTGTTCCAGCTGTTCTCTAGCACCATCGTAACATTTATGGGAGATTTCTTTTGAATTTAGCTTTATTCCCTGGTACTTATAAATAAATACATTGTGTATCTTACAGCTGCTGTGCCAGTTAATAGCAAATACAAGTGCATAATGAATTTCTTGCCTTTTATGAAACTGCTAGAACTAGAAATGACGGAGGGTGGAGGCCTCATTCAAAGGAGATCCATTAATGTAATAATAGTGAAGCCAGAGATTAGAGCTGATAGGATTTGTAGAGAGTTTTGTACAGCACTTACCTACGCTAACACTGTTATTTTGCTCCATGGTCGTGTAAGCTCTAAAACTGCGATGAGTTCACAGCAAACCAAGCAAATGACAGTACCGCTCACTGCATCTCTGCCTCTTTTGCAGCTGTCTTGGAAGCAGATGGACACGAACCTACTCTAGAAGAGATACCCGACTGGAGTACCGCGGAGCTCATAGGAAGTGGGGAGACTGTACTTCGCTGCAACATCAATGACTTGGACTTTGTAAGTACAAAGGTTTAATCAGAGCAGTCTCTCACTGAAAACATCTAGATTTTGAAATGAGCGCTTCCTAAGGCCTAAACAGTCTGACTTCTGTCACATTACATTTCTGTAGTACTTTATATTTGAGGCGTTTTGAAGCGCACAAGGCCGTGCTTGGAACTTGGGACACCGTTACTCAGCACCAGCACACAATCACAAGCAAGCCACTTATGTTTCAACCTACAGAAGTATTAGGGCACTCTTTTCTCTTCAAAATAACAAATATCTTTTTACGCCTCGGCCTTAGTTTGTTTTTTCAGCCTCCTCGTTTTGATGCTTCACTGACAGCAATTTTTTAATTGAAATTTTTGCTGCAGGAGAGACAAGGACCTTGAGGGCTCAACTTTTCTTGTCTTTTGTGCTACTGGCTGCTAAAGAAAGGCTGACAGCCACTGCCTCTCCCCTCCCCACTATTCAACAGCCTGTCTAGGGCTGGGGAAGGGGGACTTGTGGAGGGAAAGCAGAAAACTGACTGACCGTAAAGGCATTTCCAGCAGCACAGCTTGATTGGTTTCACCTTCTTGCAAGGAAGCCAGACAGGACAGCAACCGGGAGGTTCCATTTCTTCTCTTTTTGGAAATTTCTTCCAACAAAACACAACCTTTTTTGTCACAGCTCAAGATGTGTGCTAGACTGTATATGCTAGCATGCACATGCACTCTCTCTCCCCTCTCTCTTTCTCTCCTTCTCTCTCCCCGTCTCTTGAATCACCTGCAGTGCTGATTCCACTTCTTGCTCTGCTTCCAATCCAAATCAAAGCTGAATCATTCTCAGATTATGCAGCTAAAAAGGATTGCGCCAATCTGGTCAAAGTACTATGAGGGAGAATGCACAGGAACATGGATGCTATAATAATGAATACTAATACAAGATAAGAATAAATTTACTTGCATATAAGTTCTCCTTTTCTCCTTTAGGAGGTGATGGCAATTTGGATCCACTTTGTGAAGAAGCCCGAAAAGCAGTGTTGAACGCTTACTGATTTACAGGGACGCATTTTCTTTTACCTTGTTTTTTTTTGCTAGGTAATTTACTTACATTACAAATGTACTAGAAATGTCAGGATACAGTGGTTCTTTGCACTCCTACATCTCTTAGTAAGCCTCTAGATAAATCTTATTTGTTGTATCCATATGTCAACCAAGTACCTGTTCCAGAACTAATCATATGTTACCAACCTCAATATTACAGATTCATGTAGAACTGAGTCGCATGTAGTTCTAATAATTTGCTTTTAATTAAAAGAATCAGACTCCTGAATATCTTGCATTCTTTCAACTTTTAGAAAGTTTTCTATGTTAAAGACACCATTTCAAAGTAATTCACAACTGAAAATCATCCCAAACATTTGACTATATGGAAGTATAATAACAAGATGCTGTATTATCTCTTAACTTTTACTGCTTTCCTGAGGAAAAAATGGTCAGAGAGATTTTATTTACCTACAACCTAAAGGCTAGAATTCCCTACTCTTTATCATACAGAAGATGGGCCAGTTCTGCTCTTCTGCGGGCCAGAAACATCCCACAGAGTATTCGTGGGTCACTAGACACAGCACAAGGGTACACAGACAAGGAATTTGGCATACTTACAAGGACGGGGTTAAAGCTGACTGGATGTCACCATCACTGATACTCCACCAGGTATCTCAAAAATAACGTTGCTTTTTCGGTCTCTCTACTTGTATTTTTGATAACTGAGTATGAGAGTTCTTTTTTTAACTTCTGATTTATCAACATATAATCTCAGTCTCAACTTCATTTTAAAGATACTTTTGGCCTAGATAAATTCAGCTGTTTGCAAATAATCACATACCAGAATGCTGGTACTCTGAACAGTTTTCAGTTTGGGCCATAGCTACAAAATAAGGATCGTTAGTCTTTGCATCCTACCGTAGTGCTGCGAACAAAGAAACTCAGCATTAGCTGAGGTTAAGGACTGTTAGGCTGCACAGATATAGTTTCTAATGTGGCAGCAGGAGAGACAGGCTGACCGTTATAAAGCAAAAGATGAACAAATCCTACCACGCGCAATATTGCCTATCAGCTCCAACCTGCAGGGAGACAGCTTCCGTTACAGATGAACCACATTTACTGCAGTACCCATACAAAACAAACTCTTGTCAAAACAATGCTATTGCTATGCCAAATACAGTCTCTTACCAATGACCTAAAGGTGCCAGAGGCATTAAAGAAACTATCCTCCAGTAAGGGAGGAAAAAATACCAGTAGTTAAAACTGAATGAAGCAGAAACTGTAACGCCCCTCTAGAAGACTGAAACATTTTTGCTTTCTACAACTCTGATAAAACAAGAATAGCAATTGAGAACATTCAGGCTAAACCATACCGAGAAGATGAATAAAATTAACTGTGAGACAGATAATGGACTGTCCTGCAGCAGGCACTCACAAAGACTAAAGGTTGGGTTTAGCTGTTCGCCCTGCTCTCGCTCTGCACGGTACAGGCAGCACTGAGTGCACACCTCACCACGATTCTCTCCCAAAATAATCACTGAACAAACTCTCATCCACCACAACCTAACTCCAGCCTCCAGCTGTAACCAGCACCACAAAGAAGTTCTTAAAAACAAACAAACAAACAAAACAAACAAAAAAAACCCCCCAACTACTGCATTTGCCAGCAGGGCACCTCCAGAGGGACCTCTTTTTCCAGCAGAGGCGCATGCGGGGGGTGCTGCAGCAGTAACCACTTAACCGATGCCACAGGAGCTGTGCGCAGAGCTCCTCGCCGCAGCAGCGTTCACAGCTAGGGTATATTCCCACCCCTAAAGCCCCAAGTCAGAACTGTGCGAGAATGGATTACTGCTCCGTCCCTCTCTGGCACTAAATTGTTTATTGGCCTCTTAGGTAAATGCAAATTATTTAGACTAAGTTAGTTTAAATAATGTTAATTCTAGAACAGGATTTACTCCAAGAGACTAAGCTCCCCAGACCTCCTGAGCATCGAATGACATGAACATCAATGCGAATGCTCCAGGCAAAAGAACTCATCAGTGTGACTAATTCATCTAAAAAAAAAAAAAATTAAAGTTTTACTGTGTTTAGTGTCTGTGGAATATCAGTCTGAGACTATTTCTGATATACCTTCAAGTCAGAACAAGGAAAGTTTTTTAGAGAGATGTTAAGTCATAATAGATTGACTTGTTTAGCTGGAATAAATATAAGCTTTGAGGAACACAAGGCTTCAGTTCTGAAAGAGAAGGAGGAAACTTCAAGACAAGTATGGGTCGAGAACAACTGCTCTGATTTTGTTTTAGAGGAGTATTATTACCAAATTGTTAAAGATCAGAGACAGATAAAACCTTTTTAATATGACAGGCTACTCTCACCCGGTGAGGTAAAATATTAGCTCCATCAGACATTTTGAATGAGGCTGGCTAAAAGGCATAAGGGATCTGAGATCTTGTTGCTGTGCTTTTGTTACAGAAGGGAATAAATAAATACAAATTTGAAGTAGTCTATTCAGTTTGGTACCCATCCCTTAACATTACCTGCAATTAGTTGCCATGGCACTAGCAGGCAGCTGGATATTTGAAGGCACTGTAGTAGCCGCTTGGACAAAGACATTTAATATTTTTTTTTGTATGTTAAATAACTACACTTCTCTCAAAGTCTCTCTCGTTTTTAAGGGGATTATCTGCCCCACAGATAATCATGGCCATTTGAGAATGACTGAACTAGCCTGCAGATCCTCTCTACAGTGACTTTCATCCAGGCTATTGTGATGAAGTCAAATCGGGGTGGGGAAAACAGAAGCAGCAAATTATTCCAGTAGTAACTCCAGCTAAATTGCTGTGCAGCCTTTATGGTTTGACTAATTGTCTCATTAGGACACATTTGTGATCACTGAAATGGATCTCAAGTATTTTTAATCATTGAAAAAAATGTACCACTAAGAGCCTGTCTCCCTCCTATCCTCAGCACTATTTGCAATGGAAAACACACAAAGGCCCCTGCTGATTGGAGCCCCACTGTTGCACAGTTGGGAGTCAAATGGTACTAATGGCACAATAACACAATATAACTAAAATAGTTTGCCTTTTAGAGTAACAGTCTCTTATAACATGATTAAACTCTGTCATGCCCGTTTCCTCATGTTTTGCAAATTGCTTCAAAAAAATCTGACAATTTTCCAGTAATTTCTTCAAAAGGGGAGGGGAAAATAAAAAACAGCTACCAGGAAACAAATTAACAACACTTGCTACATTAAAAAAAAAGATGAAAACAACTGCATCAAGCATGTGTAGCACAGCAGCCTGATTGCGTGGCACTCAGTCCGTTCCCCTTAGACAGTGCAATCCCAGAGCATGAGTTTGTCCCATCTAATTGCTGACCCTTTATTGAGATACTTAAATTAGGAGCTGGTTTGCCATAGGCTACTTCTATAACTGATGAAGAGAGGCATCTGCACAGAGCAATTCACATCTCTCCTCACTACAGTGATAGTATGACTGCAAGCCTCCTATTTTAGGCACTTCAATATTGTTTGGAACCAAATAGCAAAAAAGAAATGAAGCTGCTTCTTCATCTGAGGAGCAGGTTTAAAAAGGAAGAAGCTGGCGTTATTCGCCATACTATTGACATGATGTTTACACTATTCGCAAACAGGAAGATTGCACTCTTGGCTATCACTCCCAGTGGTTGCACAAACTGTGCACTGCAGCAAAACATTTCCCTTTACAAGAGTTACAAGTGCTTATCCCATACATTATCATGTTAAAGACAGCAGCCACTTAGTTTTCAAACAGCTTATTCTCAGCAGCCTAAGGCCAAAGTGGCACAGCCATTGCTAGGATAGATGTATAATTTCATGATGTTCAGTCTGATCAAAAACCCTGCAAAGACCCAGAGACTATTTCATGGAGATGAAAATGATACATAGGAAGGAATTCACTCCATACATATACTCAAGAAGAGGGGAAAAGATCCTATTTATTCTCAAGCATCTTCTGCTTGTTTTAAAGTTAAGAGTGTGATGGTAATCATCAACTTCCCGTGGGTGCACTTATGATCATCTACTTGGAAAAATAAAAAAACCCATATAGCTGATATCAGCATGGTTCTTAAAAAGAGTTTAAAGTTTATTAGTAGAACAATGTTGACTTACTTTAATAGTACTTTTTTTTTTTTTAAATTATCAATGAGTCTTCACAGAGTTAAATTTCCATCCTCTTCATTTTGCATATTGGCCCTTCAGCAAGGTAGTATTAAACATGGCCGAATGGCAGCACTAAGAATTTCCGTGTATCATTTTTACATATTAAGAGAGAGTCTGTCACAGATTTGCTTTGTGGTGTGGATGAAATTACTTCTCTCTCTTCTTCATCTGAAATGGAGATAACCGCTGTGAGTCACTAAGATCTTGTGTTCCCTAAAGTATTTTCAAATTCTCTGATAAAAAGTGCTAAGCAACTACTTGTACTGCGCTCCACAAATAGCGCAGAGGAATGTTTTATTCTAATATATGTACTCTTTAAACAAAAAAAACTGTCATTTTTCAGCTTCAAAAAAAAAAAAACAATTATACCAAACTCAAACATTTCTGCTTTGACAGTCCCTTTTAACTGTCCAGATTGCTTCTGGTTATTTTAAGATATTTTTGTTTAAAGAATTTAGAACGTTCCCTATCAAAGGCCGTGCATGTTACAAGTGGAAAATGGCCTACGATACATACAAAATTCTGCTCTGTTGAGGCACATATTTACAAGAATCATTACTCAGTAGAGACTCATTCAAGGGAGAGGCAAGATGCATTACTAATTTAAGATGAAATTGAATTTACTTGCTACAGATTTCAGTTTTGATCAATTTTGTAAGGCAGCTTTAAGAAAAGACAAGATTGTCCTGCACCCACACACAAGCACTATTCAGATATATAAGTATTTACTCACACATACATGCAACGTAAACATACCTAAGGAGGTGTCCAGCAAGGCCATATGAAGTATAGTCATGAACATCACAAATTAGTGGGTTGTGCATGGACTTTGGGATTAATTCTGAGACATAGCATATGCTAGAAAAATCTCAGTTTACTCTCCTTGGAGCTTTGTTACAGAGACAGGTACCACAAAGTTAAAACATTCTGCATAAATCT